TTTTTTGGCAGACGTCCTCCTTCCAGCTTTTACAATATGCTCTGCTCCCACTTCTGAGAATTCTGTCAACCGTGTTAGAAAACTGTAGTACATTTCCCAGCTCAAGGGAAGTAAAGAGGTACTAATTAATCCCATGCTGCCGAGCAGTAGCAACACAGTGACTGCTATCTCTTCTTCTATTAATACTTTTGCTCTACTAAGTCAATAGAGAGGGAAAGTACTGGGCAAACACAGATTGCACCACAGTCAAGTCGGAGATTAAACTCTAGATATAGCTAACACTCTTTGTATTGCAGATAGGCTACATTCCCCAAAGCCACACAGACTGTCATGCTGGGAGGTGGAAAGAAAGCAACACCTTTGCACGGCTTCTCTGTAGCAGGAGCTCTGTGCAAGCCCCCCACTCCCAAGGGACAGGTGGTTAGTTTATTATGCAAAGCAGCTCCGATTCTGTGGATTCTGTGGATTCCCTACCTACAAAAATACCTGACTTACCTTCTCTGCTTGCATATGTTGAAGAAGAACTGTAAGGCCTTCCCATTTAGGACGGTTCTTCACAGCCTTTTGTTGTACGTTGTTACAGCAAGAGGGTGTGGGCTTTACATAATTTTTTGTATTTGTCCCTTTTTAAAGCCAGTCAGGTTTTTTATTTGTTTGTTTCTTAAATCATGCTTCTGATTTTTGGAGATGCTTGTGTGAGTTTTCTGCATATAGTTTAATATTTTAGATTTAGACAGTGCTTTAATTCATTGTTAAGTGGCTCTGATTATTTTTTACAAGAAGGCAGAACAATGCCGTAATTACATGGCGTTACATCAAGTTTCTAAAGTACCACCATATTATTGTCGTAGGCTGCCAACCCACCCAAACCTACCCAGCTTATCCAGATGTAAAAGGGATGCCCCCACCATTCCAGTGGGTTGTCTGCCTCATCCACAGATCCTGTGGCACATTGGGGAGAGGAAGCAGTAAAGGAGGAGGAAGAACTACAAGAGGCACTGGAAGGACGACTGCCCATCTGCTGCACCCCAGAGAAGGAAGCAGGTGAGCCTCTCATCCTTCAGGACTCTTGGGCTGGGCTATGGGCAACCTTTACCTGAGGCCAAGGTCTGGTGGGACAGGCATGACATTCCACCTGAGCAGGGCCAGTGCAACAACAGCATCAACCACAGTGCAGCTGAGACATGCCACCCAGCAACTCAAAAGCAATACTGGAGGTGTTGCTGCCAACTCCTGGTGCAGTGGTCCAGGAATGAATGGGTGAAGCAGCTGTGGCAAGAGAACCAGCTGCTACTTGAGCCTTCTGGCCAACAAAGACAAAATCCTAGCTGTTGGGGCTAGTGATGGTAAGTCAGCCCCAGCTGTGGACTTCCACCAAGAGGAAAGGCTAATGGGAGCTGGGAACAAGACAGGGAGTAAGGAATTTTGTTGCCTGTTTGCCATCCCAATAAAACCTGTGGTACCTGACTCAATTCACCTGTTGAGTCAGTGGAGCCTATGATAGGGGAGATAGTCCTGATGCCTCAGGCCCAGGAGTGAGCAGAAGGAGAGAAGGAGAAGGAACTGGGGGGCGGGGAACCGCTCCTCCAATCTCTGATTTGTTTATTTTCACTTTTTCTATCTCTGTGTCATGTTCTCTGTGGGAGTGAAAGTCAGCCAGTTGATGAAAGCTGGAAGAAGTGCTTTGCTAGTACTAAAGCAAATGAAATGTACGAAAACATAAAAAATACAGAAAGCTATGATACTTTGGTCACATAATGAGGATTGAAAGTATCAGTTATACAAAGTAAAATAAATGGGGAAAGCAGTGGAAAGAAGGGCCAAAGAACCTGAGAAATGGGTTTGGATATAGCATTATTTAGAGCTGATACATACAGGATCAAAACAGCCATGTTAAGAGGAACATGATTTAAAGATGGGATGGTATGCATATGTATGGTATGGGAGACACAAGGAACACTCTCAGTTCGGAGAACATATCATTAGGAAGGCCCTAGGGATGGTATGGCAGAAATTTCAAGCACAAACTTATGAGAAAATCCCATTGTGGGTGGTACTGATAGAAGCATTCACATTAAAACCCCCGAACCAGAAAGGAATGTTAACCACATATGAAAATCTGTTAACCAAAGAGCTGAAGATAAAGGATAAACAAGAGCTGGTCAGTTCGGAGAACATATCATTAGGAAGGCCCTAGGGATGGTATGGCAGAAATTTCAAGCACAAACTTATGAGAAAATCCCATTGTGGGTGGTACTGATAGAAGCATTCACATTAAAACCCCCGAACCAGAAAGGAATGTTAACCACATATGAAAATCTGTTAACCAAAGAGCTGAAGATAAAGGATAAACAAGAGCTGGAAAAATGGGTATAGCTGTTGACTGGTGGTCAATGGTAAAATTAGAATCAAGATACAAAAAAGATAGGACTGTGGGTTTTTTCGAGGGCAAAGTCCAGGTGGACAGTGGATATATACGGATGAAAGAATAATTAGGAAAATGTATACATACTTATTAGAATACGATTTAGAGGATGAGAGGGTGAAAGAGACAATGATAAAATGGGCAAGAAAATTTGGGTACAGTGTGGACCTTGATGATTGGACTAAGATGTGGAAAGAAAGCTGTAAGATGTATAATCAGTAAATTAAAGAGAAAATATACTCAAAATGTTCTACAGATGGCATTACACACCTGTAAGATTAGCAAAAATGTCAGAGGGTAACAGCAATATATGTTGGAATTGTAAAAAAAATGCAGGAACTTATTAGCATATGTGGTGGACATATGAAAAGGTCAAAATTTATTGGACACAGGTATGGGATCTAGCAAAAGAAATTATTCAGCAGAAGTTAGATATAAAACCTGAAATGGCATTATTGAATGTCATTTCAGGAGTAAATGATAATAAATTGAAGCATTGTCTCATGTATATACTCACAGCAGCTAGATTACTCTGGGCCCAAAAATGGAAAACAGAAGAGGTACCGACGATAGAAGAGCTGTTAAAGAAGCTATGGGACATAGTAGAACTGGACACTCTATCAGAAGCACCACGGGAACAACCAAGAGACTATGTAAAACAAAGCTGGGGACTAATATATTCTTGGGCCCAGAAGAAGACAGGAGTGTAGGATAAAATTTATGATATATGTATGTCCATTTAGTATATACTAGAAATCGATATAGAGAGAGTAGAGGGGCTAACGAGGCTGGAGTCTCTGACTCCAAAGGGGGGAAGGTAAAGGTAAAGGTAAAGGTTCCCCTTGACAATTTTTGTCCAGTCGTGTCCGACTCTAGGGGGCGGCGCTCATCCCGCTCTTCAAGCCATAGAGCCAGTGTTTGTCCGAAGACAATCTTTCCGTGGTCACATGGCCAGTGTGATTTAGACACGGAACACTGTTTACCTTCCCACCGAGGTGGTCCCTATTTATCTACTCGCATTTGCATGCTTTCAAACCGCTAGGTTGGCGGGACCTGGGACAAGCGACGGGTGCTCATTCCGTTGCGTGGATTCGATCTTACGACTGCCGGATCTTCTGACCCTGCAGCACAGGCTTCTGCGGTTTAGCCCACAGCGCCACCACGTCCCTCTGCGCCACCACGTGTACTTTAAATAGAGGGGTTAGTTAGTGTTTTTTTTTCCTTTTTTTTCTCCTTGTATATGCGGTTTGGTTTTTTCTTTTGTCTTTTTTTTCTTTCTTTTTTTCTCTCTCTTTTTTGTGTTCCTATGGTTTTTTGTATGTTAGAAAATTATTTTAAAATAAATAAAAACTGCAAAAAAAAAGGTAGCAGGCAGGAAAAAAAACAGCCATGTTAACATTCAACATCTGGCAGAGAGGAATAATAAGATGAGCAGTTTGGAAAAACACAAGGAAATTTAAGAACACCATGCTATGTGAGTTACCTAGACCTATGGAGTGTACATATCCATGGCATGGAACTCTTCTCTGATATACAAAACATAAACAAACAAACAAGAAGTGTATGATCACAGTCAATATGGTTCTACCAGGTTACAAATCCTTAAGAGACTGGTCTCTTTGATTCTAATATATTCTTTGCCCCGTTGTCCTTGTTTAGGGCGGCCACTCTTGAAGTCCTCCTGCTACTCAGAGTGAGGCCCTGTCAGAGGCAGGAAGGCGGCAGCCAGGAGAGAGCTGTGGGCTGCACAGCCTGCTCTGGGTCCTCTGTGCCAGCCAACTGCCTTCAGGGGGGATGGAGGATCCTCTCCCCATATGAATACAGGGTGGGGTGGGGGAAGCAGGATTCAGCCATCAGCTCAGCTGGCTTTTGTACCAGGGATGGGAGGGGTGCCTTCTTCTTCAGCACCTCAGGCAGCAGGAAAACTTGGGCTGCCTATGAATGTCCCTGGTTTCATAGACAGACTACCATAATTTGTCATCACATGCCAGATTCTTTCAGCCCCTCCCTGATCAAAAAAAAGGTTGCTAGCTCTGAACCCCTCAGACTGACAGCCCCTCCCCCTTCAACACCTGTGCCTCAGGTTCCTGTGAGTTTCGCGGCACCCATGCTTGGTGGAACAAAACCCGAAATTTGAGGCACAGAAGGATGGCAGAGATATTGAGAGGTGTCACAAGTAATTTCCTGGGAGCTAATGCTCTTTCCCGAATGCGCTAACTTTCTTGTATTGTATTGTATCGCATCATGTTGTACTATACTGGAACGAGAGGTCGAATTCTCATCCCCACCGAAGGGAAGCCCGGACTTTCCTCGCATGTGGTACGTGAGGGCCGCTTCCGCGAGGAGAAATTCATACCCGTGCTCGGTTTCACTTGATCCTGATTTCTCACGAGAAACCGGCTCTGCAGGTGAAGGCAAGCCCGACTGAGCCCGCCTTTTCCCATCCCGCTCCCGCCAAGGCAGCCGATGTCAAGGAGAGAGAGCTCGGTGGGAGGCAGCTTTGGCCAGAGAGCTGCCGTCGTTGTTGCCCCCCCCCCCACACACACACACACACAACTCGCTTTCCGCTGCCCGGCACCAACTCCGCTGGGCGGGTCCTGGTGGGAGGGAGGGAGAGGCCGCCCTTCCCCTTCTCACTCGCGCGCTCCCTCCGGCACTGGGCGGCTGGGCGCCACGAGCCTCCGGGACCCTCTGGATAGCGCCGGCGCCAGAAAAGGGAGATGAAGCCAGCCCGGTGTCTGCTCTTGGCCTTGGGTAAGTCGGCCCCCCGGCCTTGGGGCGCCCGCCAGGCGCTGGAGTGCCTGGTTCGCCCGGTTCTGCCAGGCGGGCGCCTCGAAAGCTCCTGTCCGAGGCTCGGCTATTTGCCTCTCGTGCGGAAGCTAGTGGGGCGGGTGGGAGTGGGGACCCGTCTGGATCCCCAGGGATCTGCGGCTACTCTGACGGCAAAGTCGATCCCGGCGGGCACCGGCCGTGATTTTCCCAGTCTCGAGAGTGGGATTAGCTTTGAAGAAACTTTGTTCGGCCACTTTCCCAAACGCTATTCGCTGCTCTCAGTGCTGGTGCCCCTCTTCTTTCCTTCCTTCCTTCCTTGTACCTGGACTTCGCATTCAGACATTAAAACGTTGTAGCACTAACCGAAGCCAGAGGACGCCTTGTCTCTGGGGATCGGAATAATCCTTGGAGCAACGAAACTGTCTCGAAGCACCTTCCGACACTCCCGTGACTGTCGCCTCCAGTAGCGGGAATAAACCTGTTACCAGGGGCGCCTCTGTCAAAAGGCAGGTTCGCGCGTCGCCTTCTGCAGCTGCCCCGGCGACACGGGCGCAAAGGGCCGGCAGCTTCGGAGAAGGTTCCTTGCCCGCTGGTCCTTTGCCTTCCCCAAATGCCCGCTTGCCTCTTCTGGGGGA